AGTTCCTGAAATCATATATAAAACTCTTCATATGGTGCTACAGTCACCACCACCACTGTCACCTCACTGTAACCCATGGACTTTCCAGAAAGAAAAAAAGAAAGAAATGCAGAGGCAAAGGTTTCCAATGGTGACAAGGATATGGTCCCATCACCACCATTTGAGGTTGATGTCTAATTATACTAGAATTGAGCCATACAGGAGAGGTCTGAGAAGTTCATGTGTCTTGGCCATCCATCTCCTAGGATGTGAGACTAGGTCACACAAAGAGAGAAAAGGGAATAATGATCCAGAATATTCAGGCATGCTGGCCAGTCAGTACAGTGATTCAGGGAATTAATGCAGGAGATGTGCAAGCAATGAATGAAGTTCTAAGAAGAGGAAAGTTTTTAAAATTTCCCAAAATCATTTGCCAACCAAATACAGCTGACCCTCTGCATCTAAGTTCCATATCTGGGGACTCAACCAGCTGCAAACTAAAAATATTCAGGGGGAAAAAGAAAACCCTGCACCTGTTTTTGAACGCATAATAACTTTTTTTTCTTGTCATTATTTCACTAAATGAGAAAGTATAACAACTATTTACACAGCTTTTACAACATATTAGGTATTTTAAGTTATCTAGAGATGATTCAAAGTATACAAGAGGATGTAGTTTATATGCAAATACAACATATAAAACTTATGTAAGGAGTCTGTACTGATTTGGGTACTCACAGGAGTCCTGGAACCAATCCACCTGGAATGCTGAGGGGCAACCATACAGTCAATTTTTCATTCATGGTAGTTCTGTTTTGCCAAATTGCCACAAATATTGAATTAGTGAACACTAAATTATTGCTCCTGAGGCAGATATACAGTTATGTTCCTGTAAGCCTCCAGTCACATTTTGTCTACCCATTAGCACAGAACCTTGTTTTATGTATTTTTTCTGTTTAAAGGAACTCCATTGAATATAGATATTTCTTACAAATAATTACATGCAGTATTTCTTTACAGCCAAACACTAGCTGAGATGAGCCCACCATCCCCAACCCTGGATCATAAGACCACACATTTCTTAGACTTTCAGCCTGTCCATTAGGCTTTATTAAAGTTGGTTATCATCTCCATCAATCTGCAAATTTAGCCATATTTATGTCTTTTTCATAATTGCATCACACATTATAGATGCTACTTTAACATGTTCTAGAGTGGCTAGATATGTGGATCGATATATTTCCTTTCTCTTGTTTTGGACGCACCTCATTGTTGTTGACTCCTTAACATTGCTTTCAGGGCCAACAGTCATAACTCATGCCTGAATAAAGTCATCAAATGCACACTTGTTTTCTCCATGAGGTACCTCACAGCCTTCTTGTACTTTAGGAGCCCTGGACAGCACTTCAGCACTGCTCTGGGGGTCATTTTATCACCACCACCAACAAAAAAAATCACCAACAAAACCCACAAAAAACATAAACCCAAAAAAGGTACCAAATATATCATGAAAAGTTTATAGCATGAGAAGAAAAACAATAGCACAAAGCCTTGCTCAGTCTCAGCTGGAGACATGTGAGCAGGTGACTCAAATTTTTTTGTCTTTGTCCATATTTGCAAATGACCACAAAAGTGTCATGAGAACTGACTTTAGAGTTTCAAATAGATTTCAGCAAGACTGCAAATTCACAAATACGGAACCCATGGATAATAAGGATCAAACTGTACTTTGTTTGGGGGGAAATAGTCAACACTGATGTGGAACACAGGAATTTATCCTTAGGTAATGCACCATAAAAAGCACAGTTTGTATAGCTATTTTCTTACATATAAGGAAAAATGCCACCTTGAACCTGCATGCTAATGGCTGTGTGTGTAGACAAATAAATTATATGGCACATCATCCAAATGAAAGATTAAAAGGTCACTAAAAATAWCCATGAAAATTATGTGGCAATATGGAGAAACATTTTATGACATGTCTGATTTTTAAAAGCCGGATGACAAAATTACTGCTGGGATATAATGACTGCTATGTATTTATTTATGTTCTATAATCTAAAAAAGAACAGAGAAAAATTAAAATAGCTGGTCTGTTGGGGTGGCAGGGACTATCAGAAATGTAGTTTTTATATTCCCATTTCAACCTCTATTTATACTAGTAAGTAGTCATGGAGGCAATGACTAAATAGACGCTATTCAGTACAGGTTGAGTATCCCTTATCCAAAATGCTTGGGATTTGGGTGTTTTAGATTTGGGATTTTTTCAGATTGTGGAAAATCTGCATATACATTAAGGAGATTCTTTGGGGATGAAACCTAAGGCTAAGCATGAAAATCATTTATGCTTCATGCACACATTTTACACAAAGCCTGAAGGAAATTTTACACAGTATTTTTGAATGCGCCTGCATTATGACTGTGAGCCATCTCAGGAGGTAAAGTATGGAATTTTGCACTAGTAGCATCAGGTTGGTACTCTAAAAAGATTTACATTTTGTGGTATTTTGGATTTTGAGATTAGGGATACTCAACTTATCCTCTTAAAATGTATCTGTGACTTAATTTTTCAAGTTTTACAATAAATAAAAGGGTGGAGAGGGAGGTTATGCAATTTTCCTCCAACTGAATTCTCAAAACGTTGCATTTCCTTGAAATGCATATTAGGACTCAGAAGTTCTGGGGTGGGCCACCCCAGTGATGCTGTGTGGATAGGCCATGGCCACACTTTAAAAAGTGACAGTCTAAAAGACCAAAATTCGGGGCTGGTTTGTGGCTCAGCAGTGGAGCACTCGCCTAGTACGTGCGAGGCTCTGGGTTCAATCCTCAGCACCACATATAAATAAATAAAGATATGTGTCCAACTACAACTAAAAATATATATATAAAAAATAAAATAAAAGGCCAACATTGCCCTTCCTCTTTGCAGATTCTTTTTTTTTTTTTTTTTGTCTCAGTCTCAAATCTAGGCAATGCTAACGCTAACTGCATGGATGACACTAGGAACAGAGAGGTGGGCTTAGGACTCAAGTGATACCCTGAGCACCTGTCTTAGACCAAGCTTTTGTTGGTTCTCAGAACAGCTTCGCTGTCCACAAGGAAGCAAAGGATTGCTTTTAGGAAAGTGGGCTGTGGTTTCAAGCAAGGCATCACCAAACCACCTGGCACATATTCTTCATACAGAATCTGGCTTTCACAATCATTTCTAGCTTTGGCTCTTTTGGATCCAATTTCAAAGGGTTTCTTGTGTAAAATGGGCTACTTGGGAATACAGGATGTGAAGACCCTGCCCACATGTGCCAGGCCCTATAGAGTCCTCAGAAGGAGCACTAGGCCCGTTCATAAGGGACCTGGTCAGCCCTGAGTTGGGAACTGATAGGCTCTTTCCTGGATGGAAACAGTTTGTGAGTGAATGAATGAAAGCAGAAAAGCTCTACATCATTAGCCAGCTTAAATGAGCTTTTCCGGTGTATTGGATAAGAGCATTAGCTTCAAGGACACACTCTGCTTAGGGACCAAAGCTGCCTGCTTTTCCATTCGATGCCTCTTCTCTGAAGAATAGACCTCCTTCTGGTCCTCCACAACGGCTGGGGACTACCTCACCTGCTCCTGCCCTTTTAAACAGCCAACATCCTCCATTCATTCCCTTTCATTTATCCCCCAGTTCTCCAGCCTAGAGTCTCACTCAAATTAGCATCTGTTTAGCACAAAGCACAAAGGAGCAAAAGATCAGGTCTAACTTGCTCCCCACAGGCTCTAAAGATAATTTTCTCTTGACAAAATCATTGACAGGGATGCTCTTCTATTAACAAAATGCAGTGCGTCACATATCCTGTGCAACCCTGTGGTGCCATCACTACTGCTGGGGACAAGTTCAGGCTCTGCCAGCTACTGATGGAAGATGACAGCATTTTGGCTTAAAGCCCAGACCCAGGGCCCAGAGTCACCTGACCTCTAGAGAAAGCTCCCCCAATGTCCACAAGCATATAACAGCACTTTCCTGACATCTGTAGCCCCCATGAATGCAGAATTTCTGTGAATGAGAGGAACACTCCCAGAGTGAACTTACACTGGATAATCTTTAGAAAGAACAAAAGGCACCAAATGCAAGTGCCAGAAATCTAACCACAATTCCAAATGCAACCTTTCACTGTGTGTGTGTGTGTATGTGTGTGTGTGTTTTCAAACTCATGAACTCTACTGGGAAAAAAATAATTAAGATTTTAAAAATATACAAGCCATCCACATGATGGACCAAATACATGTTCCTTTACACAGGTTTAATAATTGTATCTTCTTTATGTACTCACGGTGGATTTTTTTTTGAATGGCAGCTTTTCAAATGTGTTTATTACAGTACATGCTTACTTGGCTATAATTAAAAGAAAATATAGCCATACTTATATCCATTGGCCTCACAGCATGCATTTATTCTCCAACTTTGTCAAGCTTTCAAATAATTATTTGCAGAATAGAGTGGATATTCATAGCTATCTGCCCACCAAGCCAAAGCCTGCAGCCTTTGAAGACTTGTAACCTGGATGCAATGGCCACTGTGAAACACACTTAGGCTGTTGACCCTTGGCATTAGTCAGCTCAGTGCATGAACACCATCAATCCCCCATCCTCACCAATGCCCTGCTGGCCTCAGGAAACCACCTGGGGGAGGCAGGGAGGCGGGGACCATCAAACAGATGCTCCTCTGCCATCCACAGGAACAGAAATCAAACCTCTCCTGGCACGGTAGATAGAGTAGGGAGTCTTCTGGAAGACACTAGCTGCCAGTCAGCCCTCAATGAAAGACTTTCCTGATATTCCTGAATTTGAGGGTTGAGCTTAAGAGTGATCAAAATGTCCCTGAAACGTGACTGAAAAACTGAGAAAATGAAGAACGAAGCCTGCATTTTGAACTGGAAAGCAGCCCAGTCCCTTGCCCAAGCCTCAGATTTACCATCGGCCATGCCTACACCACAGCTCTCTGGGCTCCTCTGCCCCATTCCCTGGGAACAGGAAAGACCTACCTGCTCTTGGGGCCACTTTGGCCTCTCCTCTGGGGTCCTGGTCTTGGCCTTGAAGCCTCTCTGGGGGTCTCCTGGGTGCTTGGACTCCGGAGGGAGGTTCAGCGACTTGGGCCTTGCCTCATGCCTGTTGGGCCCGCAGCTGGCCTCGCTGGGCGGGCAGGCCTCTGTGGAGTCCCCCGGCCCTGGCTCAGGCATATGCTCAGGGCTCGCCTCGCTGGCACTGGTGATGCTGGTCATGCTCAAGCTCATCTTGATCTCAGCCACAATCTGGTCAATGTCTTCCTCCTGGTCCTCCAGGTCCCCATCCCCACGCCTCAGGTGATACGGGGAAGCACCCCCTGCATTCCCATTGGCCTCTGAAGGGTAATAGTCCTGGTAGCCCTCTTTGCTGGGACAGTAGTGACCATCATCTTCCTGGACGTGGGCTTCCAGCACAGAGGGCTCGTCCTCTGGGATGGGCAGGTGGCTCTCTGGGTAGTCCTGGCTGCCTTCGGCCCCATGGCCATGGGGGTGTGGGCCCGCTGAGTCTGTCCACTCCTCCACCGCCTCTTGGCACTCGTCAGTGTCCACAGGGTGTGTACCGTGGGCCACATACTCCTCCCCGTTGCAGTCCATGCCCTCCAGGTAGCTGTCATCCTCTGGGCAGTAGCGGATGTAGTAGGTGATGCCCTCCTCCTCCTCGGGGAGCCCCTCATCATAGTCCTCCTCCTCAGAGGTGTTGTTCACATAGTCGGAGCTGGAGTCCCCATCAGGGCTGTGGTTGTGGCAGTCTTGCTCCTCGGGTGTGGGGCTCTCTGGCCGCAGGGTGGTCAGCTCCAGGCCCTGGGGCACATAGCCCTCCAAGGGCAGCTCTGCATCCTCACTCTCAGGCTCCTGGCCATGGGGGATGGGGCCTGGCCTGGCCCTGTGTTCCAACATGCTGCTGGTGGTGCTCTGGCGCTTCCGGTGGGCCATGGCAGACACTCACGCGGCCATCATCACCCGGAGGCAGTCACTGTGGGGAGGAACGTTGGAAAGTACAGAGTCAGAATCCCACCGATGGCTGATCACCACCAGCCCAACAAGCACGCAGCCCACCCCACGCGCCCACGCGCCTTGCCACCATGTTCGCTCAGAGCAATGTGAACGCACATCTGTTCAAAGAATGTGACATTCCCGCCTGGCTGCCTCATGTGCCAGGAACAACATGCCACGGTGCCAAGGAGGACAGGCAGAGCAGGAGGAAAAGGTGGCAGGCAGAGGAGAGGCACCCTCAGTCACCAGGATGCCAGCCTGGGGCCTGCAGCTCACACGCTCATTCCCGACCCCCACACTGGGCTCACTCCCTTCCGGGTTCCCCAGGTGACCAAGTCACAAGGCCATAAGCAGGTTAGCTGCTCTCAAAAGAGAAAAGGGGACGCTTCCATCCAAAGACAATGATGATGGATGGGGAAGGAGGTTAGATCTTCCCAGTTCAACTCCACACCCCATGATGAGGTAGACACTGAAATATTACATTGCACCCCCTGGATTGGTAAACTTACTATGTGGCATTTAAAAATGAAATAAGAATAAAAAAGTCTATTTGGGAGGAGGACTGAGAGGGATGCCATGTAGAAAGAAAACCCGATATTAAATACTCTTTTCAAACAGTTTGATTTTTTTTTTTACCATGTTACATGGTAAAAATGTAGTACATTCAAAGGACTACTTTTATTTTGCAATGAATTTTTAATAAAATTATATATTAATTCAAAATAAATCAATCTGTGCTCCTTGAAGACCATATCAGTCCCCTTCCCTACTGGCTTGTCCCACCCTCTCCCCAYTGCTCACTCCAAACCAAACAGCATTCACCAAGGTTCTGAAATTGCGGGTGCTGTCTTGAGTAATGAACAGAGAAGCTCAACGTAAGTGCCCAACCTTTCAGGCCCAAAGGTGTGGCAGGGAAGGCAGCACTGCCTGGCCAAGGGGAGATGGACAGGGATGGGGCTGCAGCTGGCAGGGCACGTATCCTGGTACCACACAGACCCTGCAATGATCATGGGGGCCCACAACAGGAGAGGCCCTGGAGCCCACTGCCCCAGGACTTTGCATTTTAACCCCCAAACCAGGCAGAGTCATTGGGCAATATCCAGTAAGGGCACAACACAGTATCTGTTAGTCCAATCTCTCTGGATCCAGCATGGAGGAAAGAAGGCTGGAGGAAGGGAGACTGGTAAAACATTATTTCAGTCCTCTAGGGGAGAAGAGGAGCTGGCATCCAGACAAAGGCTTAGAAAGAGTGTTCAAAAGTTTGGTTCATGTTCTTTTTCTTAGGCTGAGTGGTTACTCAAGAGTTCACTGTATCCTTTAAAATCTACTTTTACATTACAAATGCCCTTTGTGCATCATAGTTGGTCCTTTTAAAAAACATATTCCAGTAGTCCAATTAAGAAAGGAGAGCTAATACACTTTAAAAAATGGTAAGATGGTCAATTTTATGTTATGTCTATTTTAATACAATTAAGCAAATTAAAATGAAAAAAACATATCGAAAGCTTAAATTAAACCAGTGCAGATGAGGCAAGAGAAGGGGCTTAGCTAGTATTTAGGGGGTGGGAGCCTTGGGACCGGTAGTCAGACGAGAGGGAGCAAAGACGGAGGAGGCACTATCCATGATGCTCAAGGCAGTCACTACCCAGGCTCTGAGCTCACATTCCTGAACATCCTCTTTCTTAAGTATCATCTCCCCAGGGAGCTCATAAATTAAAGGACTTTCACAATCCATATCTCCCACAGTGCCAGTGCAGCACCTTGCTTGCAGTGGTACCCCAAAGACATCTCACTATACGAGTGACTTTACCAGATGGTTAGTCACAGCATTATGAATATTCCCAGAAGAACCGAGAAGGAGATAATTACTTCATCCAGTCCAGACTCTCAGAGTGTGAGCACAATTACTGATGGAGACACATGCTTCCAAAGCGTGAATGCACATTGAAGAAATTCACCATTGTCAGAAGCAGTGTTTATTCCGTTGTCCGCAAAAGGATCACGAATGGCTGTCTCTTGCTAACAGTACCAGCATGATGAAAGATTCATAGCCCTTTCCCAGAGTGGCCTGCAGACTACAAAAATATCCCACATCAGGAAAACTATGACAGAGAAGGTCCCTGCAGGGTCTGAATGTCCTCCACAATCACCCCATCCCAAACTCTGAAGTTGGCAGGACTATTCCAAAGACCTGTTCCCAAGAACAGAAGAGGGGCTCAGCATTCACCAGAACAACAGACACCAGAGGACTCATCAAGGAGGATGAACTGAGCCTGGCATGGTGGCTGATGCATGTCTGTAATCCCAGTGGCACTGGAGCTTGAGGCAGGAGGATCACAAGTTCAGAAACTTAGTAAGGCCCTTAGCAACTTAGTGAGACACTGACTCAAAAATAAAAAAATAAATAAATAAAAATGGGTGGGGGGGATATATCAGTGGTTAAGTGCCCCTGGGTTTAATTCATGGTACCAGAAAAAAAAAAAGAATGATGAATTGCCTGTTAGTCTACTATGGAGGAAGCCAACTACAGAGACAGGCTAGAGGACTGAAGTGAGGAACTTAATGACCACAGTCTGGATACAGTCTACAGAAACAACATTCCCCAAAGTGATCTCTCAGAAGTATGTGCTGAAGGCTATGGCCAAAAGGTGGCCATAGTTGTCCATGCCATGTCAGGATGACAGAAGGAAGGGTGGGGGACAAATGGTGGCAGCAGCTACATGTCAGTGAGCCCACAGCTCCTATTCTGTGGAGTGGTACCATCTCTACAGCACCCTGAGTCTCCCCAGGGCTTTGACACCAAGTCACATTGCAGGTACAGTAGGCCTTTCCTATCTGTGGGTTCTCCCTTCTGCATCTTCAACCAATCCTGGATTAAAATTTTTTATTTAAATTGTGTCTGTACTGAATATATGCAGACTTTTAAACTTGTCATCATTCCTAAACAATTCAAAATAAGAGATATTTGGAGGACATTTACACTGTGTTAGGTGTTGAAATGTCATCTGGAGATGATTGGAGGTATATGGGAAAATGTACACAGGTTGTATGCAAATACTACACCATTTTATGTAAGGGACTTGAGCATCCATTGATTTTGATCTCCTCATAGTGTCTTAGAAACCAGTCCCTGAAGAATGTCCATGGACAACTCTATTTACATCTTTGTTGGAGAATAAACTAAAGTACACAATACGTCTTATCGTCTTCACTTCAGATGCTATCAGTACACGCACTTAAACATATGTCACCTACACCCGTATAAAACACCTATATAAAAATATAAGACTTAAGGATTAAAATACACACATTAGAGTCACAGAACAGTCCCCAATTCTGCAGGTTTTTTAAACATCAATCTCTRTGGTTTGGAGGACCACACACAGCTTGGTCCCCTGCCTATGTTGCCATTGGCAGGTGATGGGAACTTTAAGGGATGGAGCTTTTTGGGAGGTCTATGAGCCATTGGAAGTGTGACCTTGAAGAGGATATTGGGAATTAAGCCCTTTCCTCTTCCTCTCCTTTTTTATGCTCTGGCTATAAGGTGAAAGCTTTGCTCCCCACCATAATAATCTGCCTTGCCAGATTATTATGTCTTATCATGTCTTCAAAATCTCTGAAGACATGAGTTACAATAACCCTTTTCTCTTTATAAGTTTACTATCTCAGGTATTTGTTATAGCAACTGCCTAGTGCATCCACTGAGGTGGTATTATAGAACTAGAAGAGAACCAGGAGTTTATTTTTCACTACTGTTTCCTGTTATCTCTTAGAGTCTTCAAATAATTTCAGCAAAATTTACAGGAGGTGCACAACACTATCAGTAACTAAGTATGCTGGACAATAATTATATAATTCATTGCCCACCACTGTTTCTTATATTTTATATGTAGATTTTTCTCTTAAAGTATTTTTTTACAATTTCATTTTTACTTTACTATAATAATTGCTAGGGTCATTTTGTTCAGTTAATAGGTAATTCTTTTGTGTCTAGAGAATGGCTCCTCATATAGACTATTTCTTTTTTTTAATATTTATTTTTTAGTTGTAGTTGGACACAATACCTTTATTTTATTTACTTTTTTTTATGTGGTACTGAGGATCGAACCCAGGGCCTTGTGTGTGCTAGGCGAGTGCTCTACCACTGAGCCACAACCCCAGCCTGACTATTTCTAAAAATACACCTTTATTTGCCAGCCTGTGAACACTATCTATTTCACTATCTTCCAGTTGGCAGTCTTGTAGACGTGTGGTTTAATACTAATCTGATTCTTTTTACCTTAGTACCACATCTATTGCTTGTCTGGAAGCTTGTAGAATTCTTTTCTCTATTCTTAAGAGTACAGAAATTCCACTGGGATATGTCTGGATGAGGGTCATTTTTTTTTTTACATTAATCTATAAGGATTCATTTGTTGAGCCCTTTCCATATTGAGCCCACATCTTGTCTAGCTACAGGAAGCTTTCTGCTATTTATTTTTTTTTTATTTCTCTCTCCCATGGCCTTTTCCTCCTTTCAGAACATCTCTGGGKTCTATCCTCTAAATCACTTAACTTTACACTCCTAACTCCCATYTCATCATAATTTTTTTCTCTGTGGTAAAGATGAATTCTCCCATTTTCCAGTTTTTCAGGAAGACTCAGCATGAACTTCTTTGGTCCTTCTGGCAGCAAAGGGCCCCTGTGACACAAGGAAGGTGTCTCACAAAGAGTTGTGGATTAAAGAGTAGTTCTCAGGTACCATAGGAGATGATTTTCTGGTGACCTGGCAGCAATGGGGTTGGCCATCTGGGACGTCATTACTGAGCTATGAGAAGGCTCCTCTATATTTTAAGTTGGACAGAAATGAGATGTGTTCAGCCAAGTCTGCCTCATTCAGGGGAAAAATGTCCCCTACTCTGTGTCAGCTTTCTGTCAGTGTGACAAAATACCTATGACAATCAACTTATAAGCAAGAAAGGTTTACTTTGGCTCAGGTTT